ACACAGAACGGCATCCAGGGATAGACAGAACGGCATTCAGGGATAGACAGAACGGTGTCGGACACACCGTGTCGGGATCACACCGTGTCGGGATCACACCGTGTCGGGATCACACCGTGTCGGGTTCACTGGTCTGCTCACTCGCTGGGATATCCTTCTACTAGTAGCGGCTACTGCCAGGGCGGCTCTAACAGCTTGTTTCTAGTCTACAATGTGACTCTCGGCCTTCCTCGCTTCCCTCCAGCCGTACATCCTTCCCATCACATGGCATCGGACGGCCGGGGTCGCCTTTCAGCTGGAGCGACGGCGTCATCCGCACCGCCGCGGCGCGCTTCCGCGCCGCATGATGGACGCTTCGCAGCATCACTCCGAAGCTGGCGTTGCGATGCGTCACGGAGCACCGCTCCCAAACGTATCACGTTACTGCCAGTGCAGAATTCGCCTCCAGGGAAACCATTGGAGGCCCAGCGAAAAGTGCCCTCAGCCCTCGCCGTGGCTGTGGCTGCGAATGCGGATGTGACTGTGACTGTGGGCGGATCGCGCTGTCGCGGAGTTTCGCTGCCGCCGGATGCGCCTGCGGATGGTTTGCGCAAAGGGCCCTCTTGTGTGGATGCGCCACCCGTGCAAGAGGGCGGATCGCGCAGCCGCGGAGATTTGCTGCTGGTGGACCTTGGGTCTTCGCGCCTGCGCCCGCGCCTGCACCTGCGCGAACCGCCCACTGGCAGGTGCCCGTCTGCGGACGCCGCAACGGATTCGCTCTTCCGCTGCCCCCGGACTCGAAGGCGGCGCCGCCCAGCGATTGTTCTCAGAAGCGGCCGCTGCGAGGCAATACGCGTCGAAGCCGCGGCGGGGAGTGAATGCGCCTCGGGAAGCACTGGCAAGCTGGCGGAAATGGCGGCGTCGATGACAGAGGCGATGGCGGCGGCGATGGCGGCGGCGATAGTGGCGGCATCCCCGGCCGAGCGAATCGAGCGCGCCGAGCGCGATGTCGCCGCTGCAGCGTCGCCGGCTTCCCAGGAGTTGCTCACGCCGGCTCAAGAGCGCGCCGAGCGCAAAGAGCGCGCTGAGCGCAAAGAGCGCGCTGAGCGCAAAGAGCGCGTTGAGCGCGAGGAGGCCACTGCAGCGTCGCCGGCGTCACTGAGAAAGGCGACGCCTCTGCAGTCTGCGATACATCCTCGCTGCTCCCCTTCCCCATCCCCTCCCGCCTCCCCCTCCCCCTCGCCTTCCCCTTCTGCGCCCTCGCCTTTTCCCGCCGCGTCGCCCGCGTCCGCGCTACTGTCGCACCCGAATTCCCCCTCCCCTTCGTCTCCCTCGTCCCCATCTACTTACCCCTCCGCTTCCCCGCAATCGTCCTGTCCCTCCGCTTCCCCGCAATCGTCTTGCCCCTCAGGTTCCCCGCAATTGATCTCCGCTTCCCCGCAGTCACCGCGCCCCTCCACTTCCCCGCGCGCGATCGAGTTGCCCATCAGCGTCCGCAACCCCTCCGCATTCCACGCGGAAGCTCCGCGGTCCACGGCCGCGCGCCGTTCCGCATCCCCGCAGCCCCCATTATCCGCAGCCCTTCAGCCGCCCGCGCTTTCCCTGCTGAATTCCGCCGCACCCGCCACACCGTCCCCCCAAGCAGTCCCCGCTGCTTCCCCCTTCCTCCACTCTTCTCCTCGCAACGAGTCAGTGGTAACCAGCCCGCATTTCGCCCAGCCAACCCCTTCGCCAGGCTCTCAGGATCCAAGTGAATCAGAGTCGTTTTCAAGTCTCTGTGTAGTACCCGCCATTAACAGCCCTTCTGAAACGGCTACTGCTGCTGCTGTTGCTACTGCTGCTGCTGTTGCTACTGCTACTGCCGCTACCACAACCACTGCGGCAGCCACCTGCCAGTCCTTGGCTGATGCCGTTGCAGCTACCATTCCCTTTGGCCCGTCTGCTCAGCCAATCGCATCAGTTTGTTCCCCGCAGCCCAACCCTTCCTCCGGGCACGCGCATTCCGCAAGCACATCTCCCCCTCCCCATTCCCCTGCGCCCATTCACCACCCCTCCGCCAGCTCCCGCGCCGCCTCAAAGTACCGTTTCGCGCGGAAGCTCCGGGTTCGAATCCCGGCGGTGGCATGTTGCAATCTGGATCCCGTTGATATTGATGCTCTCTGGGAAGAACTGGCGTTGGGAGAGGGGGAGGCGGAAGAGGAGGAGGAGGAAAAGGGGGAGGGAAAAAGAGGGAAGGAATTGCGTCGTCAGTCGAACAGGAAGAAGAGAGGGAGAGATTTTCTCTATGAATCTGGCGGGAAAAGGAGGGGGAAGGGGAAGGTGAAGGAGGAAGAGAAGGGAACGTGGGGCGAGCTGGAGCAACAGAAATGGTTGGGAACCGAAGGGGGGAAGGAGTGGGGGAGGGAGGGGAGGAGTGAGGGGAAGAGTGAGGGGAGAGTATGGCGGAAGGCAAATTCTTGTAAAACGATAGAGACATCCAAGGAGTGCCCAGAATTGCCCGCGAGACAAAGAGGGGGACAGGCGAGGGCATGGCGGAAGGCCAAGCCTTGGAACCCGAGGGAGTGGAGCAGCGTGAGCAAGACTTGGGGGAGAGAGGAATGCGTGTGGGGGAGAGAGGAGTGCGTGGGAAAGGGGGTCTACTTGGAGGCTGTGAGGGAAATCGATACTGCTGCTGCTGCTGCTGCGCGTTGCAGTGTCCGCGGAACTGCGCCCAGCGGGATTGATGAGCGCTCAGCAGATTGTGCTGAGGCTGGGCGGAACTGCTTCAACTTCCCCAGGCTGTATTTTGAGGCGCCTCAAAGTACAGCAGATTGTGCTGAGGCCGGGCGGAACTGCTTCAACTTCCCCAGGCTGCCGAGTCCAAGGGTGTTCAGCCCAAGAGTGTTCCGTTCCGGATTCCGAAGTCCAGCTCTTAAACGAGCAGCAGCAGCAGCACCACCGCTCACACCAGCAGCAGCACCACCACTCACACCACCAGCACTCTTGACTTCGTCCATTGCTCCTGACGGTCACGAATGGGAGAGCCCTTGCAATCCTGCTGCTTCAACTGATCCCCATGCTACAGCCAAGACAGCGATCGCTGTGGGCGGCGATGCAAGCTGCAATGTGGGCGGCAACATGGGCGGCGACATGGGCGGCGACGTGGCCGGGGATGGCAGCAGGGCCCCCGCGCGTCATAATGGTGATGATGATGGTGACTGTGATAATGACGACTGTTTTTCCACTCCTCTGATTGATGGCGAAGGCGGCATACTCGTACCTATAAAGAGTCACCCTTTAGCGAGGACAAGGAGTACCCCTGATCTTGACCAGGCTCAGGTGCAAGCAGAGAAATCAGAGCAAGCAGAATGCAGCAATTTCCTCCTGGCTATTCCGATCCACCTCCGCCGAACCCGCAGCACCGTCCATGTGAGAAGGTCCAGCCCTGGTCCTGGCGGCAGCAGCAGCAGCAGAAGCAGCACTAGAAACAGTGTCACCACCAACATCAGCGACACTGCTCACGTGAGAAGGTCCAGCCCTGGTCCTGGCGGCAGCAGCAGCAGCAGAAGCAGCACTAGAAACAGTGTCACCACCAACATCAGCGACACTGCTCACGTGAGAAGGTCCAGCCCTGGTCCTGGCGGCAGCAGCAGCAGCAGAAGCAGCACTAGAAACAGTGTCACCACCAACATCAGCGACACTGCTCACGTGAGAAGGTCCAGCCCTGGTCCTGGCGGCAGCAGCAGCAGCAGAAGCAGCACTAGAAACAGTGTCACCACCAACATCAGCGACACTGCTCACGTGAGAAGGTCCAGCCCTGGTCCTGGCGGCAGCAGCAGCAGCAGAAGCAGCACTAGAAACAGTGTCACCACCAACATCAGCGACACTGCTCACGTGAGAAGGTCCAGCCCTGGTCCTGGCGGCAGCAGCAGCAGCAGAAGCAGCACTAGAAACAGTGTCACCACCAACATCAGCGACACTGCTCACGTGAGAAGGTCTAGCCCTGGTCCTGGCGGCAGCAGCAGCAGCAGAAGCAGCACTAGAAACAGTGTCACCACCAACATCAGCGACACTGCTCACGTGAGAAGGTCCAGCCCTGGTCCTGGCGGCAGCAGCAGCAGCAGAAGCAGCACTAGAAACAGTGTCACCACCAACATCAGCGACACTGCTCACGTGAGAAGGTCCAGCCCTGGTCCTGGCGGCAGCAGCAGCAGCAGAAGCAGCACTAGAAACAGTGTCACCACCAACATCAGCGACACTGCTCACGTGAGAAGGTCCAGCCCTGGTCCTGGCGGCAACAGCAGCAGCACGAGCAGAACCAGAGTCAGCAACGACTTTAGCGGCACCCACAGCGGCCAGCAAAGCAGCACCAGCAACAGCAACGGAACAAACAGCAGCACTGACGGTGGTGACACTCGAACTCCCACCCACCTCCAAAGCACCCGCCGCTGCATTCACGTCCGGAGCAGCAGCACCAGCAGCGTTTACAGGAGCATGAACAGCAGCAGCACTCGCACCACCACTATCACCACCACTACCATTGGCATCCGAACTTCCACCCAGCTCCAAAGGACACGAAGCGGAAATCATATCAGCAATAGAAGCAACAATAGTACCAGTTCTGCTGCTGCTCCTGACATGAGGTATTTAAGCCACCTGCGAAGGACAAGAAGCGGTGTTCATATCACTAGCAGCCGCAACAGTACCTGCTCTGTTTCCGCTCCTGACTTCAGGAATACTGGGCACTTGCGAAGGACAGGAAGCGGCTTACCGGTTGCTGCTGCCTCTCCTGCCTCTCCTGCCGCAACAGTATGCTTCATGCTCTCATTCGAAGAACGGCGTTGCAAGCAGCAGCAGCAGCAGCAGCAGCAGCAGCAGCAGGGGGAAGAGGTGGAAAAGAGCTTCTCACATGTGTCCGTGGGATCTCCAAAGTTCAAGCGGACACATTCAAACGAGCAGGTCCAAGGAGCAACATCTGAAAGAGGAGGGAGCTGTCCACATAGGTCTGCTGCTAAAGGTCGAGGAGTACAGGCCAATGACCACTACAGGTTGGGAAGCAGGTCTGCTGCTACAGGTCGAGGAGGAGAATTGGGAAGCAGGTCTGCTGGAAGAAGCAATGACGCCTTGTGCAGGGAAGCAGGTCACAATGACATGGGAGTAGCAGGGAAGGGAGAGGAGTGCAGTCTCAAAGAGACTCAAGAATCGCTTGCAAATGGTGACACTAGAGGCAGTAGTGGGGCGACCCTTGGTGAGGTGACCCTTCTCGAAGTGAGCCTTGATGAGAGTGAGAGGAAGAGTCAGCATGGAGTGAACCGAGGCTGTGCAGCAGAGTCTGCTTTTGAGTTGAATCAAAAGCAGAGTGAGAGGAAGAGTGAGCATGGAGTGAAGCGAGGCTGGGCAGCAGAGGGGTCTAGCTTGCTGTCAGCAGAGGGGTCTGGCTTGCTGTCAGTGCTAAAAAATGTCGTAATTCGGGGAGGAAGAAAGGTTCTGAGGTATGGTAAAAAGGGAGGCATTATAGAGAACGATGAGGATGATGGGGATGATCAAAAGAGGAGGTATGGAGGAGGTTGGAACCGCAGTAACAGGCCGAGATTCAAGTGGTGCATTTATCGTGGTAACTGGAGGGCGTGGGTTTGTATGTAAGCTGGGTTGGGTTTGAAACGTCTCAGGATGTGCTAGTTTGGTTGCACTTACCATAAAAAATCAGTCAAGAGAAGTAGCTGCCTGTTTTGTACATCCATCACATTTGAATTGCCCAACATGTGTTGGATTCTGCCAGTAATCATCCACTTACAAGTAACTACTTGAACATGTTATCACCTGCTCTTGTTTCTTTGTACTGTTATGGATCAACGCTGGCAAAGTATGGATCAAGCCGAGCCATGTCATGCCCCAGCAACTACAGTGCGGTACTGTAGCACACCTACCAGATGCATTGCATGGCGGTACCTGGGAAACGCATGCGAACATACCGTACTTAATCACTTCTGAGAATGATCAAAGGTGGTGGTGCCTTCAGTCAGACCCTCATTCAGAGCTTCTCGTTCAGAGCTTCTCTTTCTCAGATCAACAGACAAACGTAGCAGCAACATCACTAACCTGTTTTACACTAAAAACTAGTCCCACGCTCTCCTCTTCCACACCCCAACCACTTATTGCCCTGTCCCTTATCAGCCACCTCACTCACTGAGTCGTCTCGATCGCACGCTAGTCACACCTACATGCCGTCTCAACAGCATGCTGCGTATGTTTTTTGAGAATTCTAAAAAATCATAACCCCTCCTTTTCCACGCCCCAACCCCTTACCAAGCCTACCCCATTAGCCCCACCCCCTAACCCTCACCTCTTTCCACCTCGCTTCTCCCCGCCTCTAAGATGGTAAGCATTTCTCAAATGGCTATGCCTCCATTGACCCACAAGCTGGTGAACCAGTAAGCTCATATGCTCATACGCTGACCCACAACCATTGACCATAATGCCTGTTAAACAGTGTCTCTCCTCGTGACTTTTGAGTCGATTCAAAAGTCACCCCGACCCACAACCATTGACCATATTGCCTGTTAAACGGTGTCTCTCCTTCTCGTTCGGGAATAGGCCTTCCCATACCTCCCTGCCTCCTTCTCTTTCCCTCCTGCCTTCTCCTTCTTTTTCCCTCCTGCCTTCTCCTTCTCTTTCCCTCCTGCCTTCTCCTTCTCTTTCCCTCCTGCCTTCTCCTTCTCTTTCCCTCCTGCCTTCTCCTTCTCTTTCCCTCCTGCCTTCTCCTCCTTTTTCCCTCCTGCCTTCTCCTGCCCCTCTTCTACTCCTCTTCCCTCTTTCTCCTTCTTTCTTGGCTGCTGCTGATTTCCCCGACGCGACTGGAGTGTCTCTTTGTGTCTCCCTCCAACCGCTTTCACCTTCCCAGTCCCACGCCCATCACCCAGCTTCTTCACATCACCCACCTTCTTCCCACCAACGCTGCCTGCATCTTCCTCCTCCCCACTGCTCTCCTCCCCCTCACTCCCTTCCTCTCCCTCCTCTTCCTCCTCTTCCTCTTCTTCCTCTTCTTTCTCTTCTTCCTCTTCTTCTTCCTCTTCTTCCTCCTCCTCCTTCTCCTCGTCCTCTCTCCTCCCCTCCCAGCTGTTTTCAAGCATGCCACGAGTCATCCTTCTCGCTCCTAGCACCACAAGGGCTGGTCGTTCTGGAGTCTTTGACTCTTCTTGTTCTGGAGTTTTCTTCGTCTTTTGGGGCTGCTTCACTTGGGATGACTTTTGAGTCGACTCAAGAGTCACTCCTCTCGCTCCTAGTACCACAAGGGCCGGTTTTTCTGGAGTTTTTGACTCTTGGGCTCGCTTCTCCTGGGTCGGCTTTTTTCGGCTCACCTTCCCATCAGTCGGCCTTTCCTGGCTTGACACCGACCCACGAGTAACCTTCTTCCTCTCAACACGCCCATTTCCACCCCTATCACTCTCACTGTCCCTCTCACTCTCGCTCTCACTCTCACTCTCCCTCTCACTCTCACTGCCACGACTCTCCTCGCTGTCATCAAGTCTAACGGCTTCCCCTCGCCGTCTCCCCTTCTCACTCACACTCCCTTTCCCTTTCCCGTTCGCCTTCCCTTTCCCTTTGACATTCCCATTTCCTTTTCCCTTCTTTACGCCTTTCCCTGCCTCTCGTCCCACCAACTTCCGCTCTTGCTCCTTCCCCCCTCCCTCCCCCCCAACGCTTTTCCCTTCCCGACCCTCCATCCTCTTCCCTCTCAACAAAACGGTACCAACACCTTCTGAACTCTCTTCCTCCTCACTCTTTCCTTCCTCCTCACTCTCTTCCTCCTCTTCCTCCTCCTCTTCCTCCTCTTCCTCCTCCTCTTCCTCATCCTCATCCTCCTCCTCCTCCTCCTCCTCCTCCTCCTCCTCCTCCTCCTCCTCCTCCTCCTCCTCCTCCTCCTCCTCCTCCTCCTCCTCCTCCTCACAATCCTTCTTCCTCCTCTTCATCTGCGCTTTCTTCCTTCCCTTGCTGCTCGTCCCGATACGAAGCTCTATCTTTCCATTGTTAACCCATCCTTCCACCTTCCATTCGTTCTCACTATCCCTATCACTCTCATCCTCCCCCTCCTCCTCCTCCTCCTCTTCTTCCTCTTCCACCTCTGCACCTTTTCTCTTCCGCGTTTGCCCAGTCCTCGTTGCATCAACAGCACCACCACTCCGGCCCTTCCCTTTAGAGAGCAGTTTCCCCTTGCTTTTCTTCCCACCACTTCCTCTCCACTCTCCATGATCTTCCTCACTCTCCTCACTCTCGTCCTCGCTCTCTTCCTCTTCCCCCTCGCTCAACTCTTCCTCTTCTTCCTCCCTTTCTTCTTCCTCCTCATCCTCTTCCTCCTCGTCCTCCTCTTTTTCCCTGCGAGGTTTCTTAGCACGGGCATTACTCGCAGCACCACCAACTCCTCCTTTCACTTTAGAATCCATCCTTTTGTTACTGCTCCTCCCTCGCACTTTTCTTTCCTCCTCACTATCCTCTCCACTCTCCTCTTCTTCGTCCTCATCCCCTCCCTCCTCCTCACCATCCTCCTCCTCTTCCTCCTCTTCCTTCTCTTCCTCCTCTTCCTCCTCACTCACCTCCTCTTTCTTCCGTGATTTTCCAGTTAGGGTTTCAATCGCAGACCTGCCTCTGCTTTTTCCTTTACTAGACATCCTCCCTTTGCTGCTCCTTCCACGCACTTTCATTTCCTCCTCACTGTCCTCGTCTTCCTCATCTTCCTCTTCATCCTCCTCCCCTTCTTCTCCCTCCTCGTCTTCCTCCTCCACATCCTCCCCTCTCCCTCGCTTCCTACCCCTTTGTCTCCAACCCTCTCCATCACTTTCGCCCTTCCCACCCTTCCCACCCTTCGCATCCTTCCCAGCCCCCCCACCCTTTCCCCCCATCTCATTCCCCCCCTTCCGCCGCCAACCCTGGCGGCAATCCGTGCAGAACCAAGCAGCCTTGGCAGCCTTGCGCCTCAGCCCCGCACACACAGGGTGAAACGCCTTACCGCACTGCACCGACGCACACCGCACCACCTCCCCTGCTCCACCCTCCCCTCCTGGCCCCACTGCCTCTCCACACGAAGCACAGAGGGAAGGAGGCAGCAGCTTAGGGGAAGCAGCTCGCAAAGCAGCAGCAACGGCGGCGGCAGTAGCAGCAGGAGAAACAGACAGATTCCCCTTTTTCCCGTTAGAAGCAGCCTGGCGGCCTGGTTCCTTCCCCTTCCCTTTTTCCTTCGCCTCACCACCACTGCCTCTCGCCCGCAGCTTTCTGCCCCCAACCGTCGTAAAACCCTGGTCTTCCTTCTCTTCTTTTCCTTGCTCCCCCAAATTTCCTGAGTCCTCCTCTTCCTCCTCCTCCTTCTCCTCCTCCTCCCCTTCCATATCCTCCTCCTCCTCCTCCTCCTCCTCCTCCTCCTCCTCCTCCTCATCTTCAGATGTCTCAGTGTTTCTCTTGCCTCTGCCCCCCTGCTTTCTCCTACTCTCCCTTGCCTTCATCACACTCCCCCCAATTTTCCTCTTCCCCTGCTTCTTCCTTCCCCCACTACCACCTTTGCTCCTAGTTCCTTTCTCCACCTCCTCTTCCTCCTCATCCTCACTGTCCCCCTTCGCCTCCTCACTCCCTTCACTCCCCTCTTCCACCTCTTCTGCACCTCTCTTTTCCCCCTCCTCACTCTCGTCACTCCCATCATCTGATACCTCCTCGTCCTCTCCTCTCCCCTCTCCTTTATCTCCACCATGCTTTTCCGTCTGAAGCTTGGAAGCGTCAAGGGCATTGCATCGTTCCCTGTGGCGGGAAAGAGAGGAAAGAGAAAGGGCAAAGGCATGAGAAGTGAGGGAAACAAGTGCGAGCACTTCCGCGTCCTCCTCGTCCTCTTCCTCCTCGTCCTCTTCCCTCCTCTCACCATCCTTCCCTGTGTGAAGCCTGCAGGCACCAAGGGCAACGGTGGTTGAACTGGGAAGGAGAAAAGGCGACAAAGCAAGGAATAAGGAGAACATGGTCGACAAAACCGGAAAAGACAGCTAGTACAAGAAAAAACACACCTGAGAGATGCAGAGAGGTATGCGAGAGTGGTGAGTCTGCGAGCACCCATCACCTCCCTCCTCCACACGCGCCGCACTCGCCTCGACCGCCACAAGCACCGCGATGCAGACGGGCCCTTCAGCCCCACCTCCTCCTGTTGAGGCGCCACAAAGGCCAGTCCAAGGGAAGCATACCTGGGGGACGCAGCGAGTGCAAGGGCATACCTGAGAGAGGCAGGTGGTCCGACGGGGAAACACACCTGAGGGAGGCAGCGAGATAGGTGAGGGTGGCGAGCGTGCGAGCACCCATCACCTCCCTCCGCCACACGCGCCGCACTCGCCTCGACCGCCACAAGCAGCGCGAAGCAGACGGGCCCTTCAGCCCCTCCTCCTCCTCGTGCTCCTCCGCTTCACTCACTGTCGCTGCATCATCCTCCTCCCCCTCCTCTCCTCCCTCCTCCTCCTCCTCCTCCTCCTCCTCCTCCTCCTCCTCCTCCTCCTCCTCCTCCTCCTCCTCCTCCTCCTCCTCCTCCTCCTCCTCCTCCTCCTCCTCCTCCTCCTCCTCCTCCTCCTCCCCTTCTTCCCCCTCTTGCCTCGCTCCCCCCTCCCTGTCTGCTCCCAACCCTCCCTCACCACCACCACCTTTCCCTGCCTTCCCAGCGTCCTTCTTTCCTTTCAAGCCTCCCTCTTCCTCCTCTCTCTCCTCTCCCTCACTTCCTTCTTCCTCCTTCCCCTTCCCACCTCCCACACCTCTCGCCTCCCCAAGAGCACCGTCACAAAGCTTGAAAGCTGCCACCTCAGCGCACAGCAACAGCCGCCGTAGCGCTGCCACCTGGCGCGCCAGCTGGACGCGCTCACTGCTGACTCCCTTGACTAGATTGACTCCTCCTGCCTCTGCTCCTGCCCTCTCTTCTCCTCCCTTTTCTCCTCCTTCCTTTCCTCCTTTTGCCTTTCCTGCTCCGATCTTTCCTGCTCCTGCCTCTGCTCCTGTTTCTGCTGCTGCTGGTTCAGCTGTTGCAGTATCCGAAGCAGCAGCAGGAGCACGAGAGTCAAGACGATTTTTGCCGCCCATCAAGACAGCTAAACCAGAGGAGCTGTGAAGGCCCCCTAATTTGATCTGATCCGATTTAGGTGGGGCAACGGCAGCCGCTTTGCAGACTAGAGCGGCCCAAACACCCCAACTGGGAGCAGGTGTCGCAGCTGTAGCTGTGGCTGCCTTGCTCCTAGTGCCAGCAGCAGCACCAGCACCAGCAGCAGCACCAGCTGCAGCAGTAGTAGGAACTGGTACGAGCACAGAAGCAGCCATAGCAGTGGCTGCAGCAGGAGGCGGAGCTGCCTTTAGCCTCTCCAATACCGTTCTCAACCCCTCCAATTGCTCTCGGAGCTTCTCGCCGATCAGGCTCGCCTCCCCCTTCCACCTCCCTTCCTCTTCTCGTTTCTGCCCCACCTCTCTCTCCGCCTCCACCCCATCAGACCCAGGTCCTTTTTCCTCCACTTTTCCTTTCTCTTCCTCTCCCCTCTTCTCTCCATCCTCCTCACTATCCTTCTCCTCCTCCACCTCTACCTCCTCCTCCTTCTCCTCCCCTTTCCCGCCCTCCCCTTCCCCTCCTCCCCCTCCTCCACCCTTCCCCTTCTCCCTCCCCCCCACACCAGACCCCCTTTTCTTCATCCCCGCTATAAGCCTCCCCTTCACCTTCTCAAGCGCTGCTTTCAGTGCCGCCTCCCTTATCCCCTTGACATTCAGACTCGCTATAAGCTCCTCTATATCCTCGCGGTAAGTGTAGCAGAACCAGCGAGAACCAGACCACCCAGTCCCCACCTCACCTCCCACCCTTCCTCTCTCACTTCCCCCCTCGCCTTCTCCTCCTCCGCTCCCTCCTCCTCGCCACACCTCCCCTTCTCCCACCATCCCTCCTCTCTCCTCCACCCACACCACCTTAGGCTCACCACTGAGCAACCAGTACCGGTTGTAGTGCCTATCCAACCCCAGGGGCACTGTTCGCACCACCAGCCGAGCCATCTCCTTTTCATACGCCTCCTCTCGCTTCTTCCACTCCTCCTCCCGCTTTCGCTCCTGTGCCATGCGCTGCGGAAAGGCAAGGGAGTGAAAGTGAGAAGCAGGGGTTTGTGAGAAAAGAGCACATTACTTTGTATGCCTCCTGCAAGGATGCACCTGACGAATCTTCCCCAAAGCCTCCTACTCTTTCCAAGCAAAGAGCACATCACTTTGTATGCCTCCAATCCCACTCCCTCCAAGCATCATCCCCTCCCTTGCATTGCATCACCCCTTTGCCTTCACCACCGCCTCACCTTTCTCTCCATCTCGGTCCGTGCCCTCTCTGCAGCTCGCTTCTCTGCCTCCTTGCGCCGAATGTACTCGCTCTTCAGCCTGCCAGCCATTGTGTTGAGCAGTTGGGGGTAGGAAGGGAAACCGGGGTGGGGAGGAAGGTTGGTTGAAGGTGAAGACTTGTGATGAGGTCTTCAGGTGTCTAAGAAATGCGTCTCACCTCTAACTTGCCATCCCACCCCTCACCTGCCTACCCTTCACCTGCCCACCCCTCACCTGCCTACCCTTCACCTGCCCACCCCTCACCTGCCTACCCTTCACCTGCCCACCCCTCACCTGCCTACCCTTCACCTGCCCACCCCTCACCTGCCTACCCTTCACCTGCCCACCCCTCACCTGCCTACCCTTCACCTGCCCACCCCTCACCTGCCCATCCCCACCCCTCACCTGCCCATGCGCTCCTCCTCCTGCCTCAGCTTCTCTTTATGCGCCAATACTGCCCGCCTGTCCATGGGGTCGCCCCTGTACTCCCTCACTTCCTCTGGCACTGCAAACAGAAACTCCACCTCCTCGTCTGTATCACACTCCCCCTTCTCACTCCCTTTCTCGCTCCCCTTCTCGCTCCCCTTCTCCTTCTCCTGCTCCTCCTCCTTCCCCTTCTCTTTCTCTTTCTTCTTCCCCTTCCCTTTGCCACCTTCCTCCTTTCCCCCTTCCTTCTTCTCCTTCTCCCGTTTCTCCTTCTCCTCCTTCTCCTTCTTCTCCCGCTCCACCCGCTGCTCCTCCTGCTGCTTCCGCACCCTCCGCTCCTCCAGCACCTCAACGCTCCGCTTCTTCCCCAGCTCAATCGCAGCATCCATGTTCTCTGCGAGCATCTCACGCGTCTCCTCAGAGTCAAGCACGTCGGAGAGCAGCAGGGAGAGCACGGAGAGGTGCAGCCCGGGGGGCAAGGCGAGCGCATAACGGCAGGAGAGCGCGTGGGCAACCGTGGCGAGGAGAGGGGGCATGGGGCTCGCCCTGATGAGATACCTGGAGTGGTTGGGGGGAGCGGGCGGGAAAGAAGGGGGAAGTCTCCTCAGAGTCAAGCACGTCAGAGAGCAGCAGGGAGAGCACGGAGAGGTGCAGCCCAGGGGGCAGCCCCAGGGCGGGCCAGCAGGAGAGCGTGTGGGCGACGGCGGAGAGCAGAGGAGGCACGGGGCTTGCTCTTATGAGGTACCTGGATTGTGTGTGTGGGGGGGGAGGGAGGAAGGGGGGAGCAGAAGAAGCAGGCATGGGAGTAGCGTCTCCTCCTCTCCGCAGGTCGATCCCGGCCTCCATGTTCTCTGCGAGCATCTCACGAGTCTCCTCAGAGTCAAGCACGTCAGAGAGGAGCAGAGAGGGCACGCTCAGGTGCAGGGAGTCTGCTTTTGAGTCGACTCAAAAGCAGTCTCCTCGTAGTAGAACACGTCGGAGAGGAGGAGGAAGAGCACGCTCAGGTGCAGGGAGAGGAGAAGGGAGGACGGAAGGGAATAGGGAGAGAGGAGAGATGGCGAGGCAAAGGGAGCATGGAGGAGGAGAGAGAGTGATATATGGTGGCGAGGCGAGCAGAGGAGGCATGGTGGTGAGAAGAGGAGGCATGGGGCTCGCCCTGATCAGGTATGCGAGGTGAGGTGAGATGAGAGATAGAGAGTGTGGGTTACGGAGGGCTGACTTTTGAGTCGACTCAAAAGTCAGAGGAGGCATGGGGCTCGCCTTGATCAGGTACATGAAATGAGATGAGAGATAGAAGAGAGTGTGGGTTATGGAGGGAGATGGCGGAGAGAGGGAGATGGGGACGAGAGGAGACAGAGGAAATCAATGCAGGGTCCGTTGGAGGGAAGGAGATGGGGGAAAAGAGGGAGATGAGAGGAAAAATCCTCTTCAACTCCCTAGCCCCTTCCCCTGCCTGCCCTCTCTCATTCCCACTTCCGTCCTCCCTTCCCACTTCTCCTCACTTAAAGAGTTCTCGAGCAACAAACCCCTCTTCAAACTCACCTGCGAATGACCTCCTGCCACGTGGCAGCATTCAGAAGCCTCTTCCACCGGTCCAGAACCCTCTGACTCACGCCAATCCCCTCATGCCCGCCCGGCACCTCCCCGCCGCCCAGATTCAGCAGCGCCCGGAACAGCCCAACGTGCAGGTCGGACAAAACCAGCCACCCAGGCTCTTCGTCCGCTTGTGCAAGCGCGCGTGCGAGCTTACGTAATGGGACAGGGGAGATCCTGGCAAAGCGGGTGAACTCCCGGTGAAACTGGAACACCTGTAGCACGTCACCCATAGACTGGGGTAGAAGGAGAGTGGGGTGGTTGGATTCGGCACCAAAAGAGTTGGACATGGATGCATTGGGTGGCACCAGAAGAAGCTGTGGTTTCTTGTGGTTGTCCCAGGTATGGGGAGCCTCGAGTTGGGGTGAGTTGGGAGGATGAGGGCCAATGGCAGCGCGCCGTTTGGCCATGTCAGCATCGACCATCTGGTCAATGATAGTATCGATATCAGCACCCTCCTCTTCCACTTTCCTGTCCTCCTCTTCCTTCTCTTCCTCCTTTTTCCTCTCCTCCTTCTTCTCCCCTTCTTTCTTGTCTTCCTCCTCCTTCTCCTCCCCCTCCTTCACTCCTTTCTCCACCATCCCACCATCAACATCACCACCAAGAGCCATTCCAACATCTGCAGCTCTCTCAACCGCATCAGACCCACCAGCACCGGCGTGCATCCCCCCCTGGCGCTGGGCCTTCCCCCACAGGGAGAGATCCAGAGTTTCATCCAGGCCCAGGGCAATTTCAGCCCGCAGAGGAGTGGGACGTGGGGGTCGCTGGGGCAGTGTGAGTGCGAGGGCGGGTGCGGGAGAGGGAGTATGAGGCTGAAGAAGGGATTGAGCAGCGGATTGGGCTCCTGGGAGTAGTGAAGCAGTAGCAGCAGAAGTGGCAGCGGCAGTGGTAGCATCTGGAGCAGCAGTCGGGATTGCTGGTGTGGCACCAGTGGTAGCTGCAACAGCAGCAGCAGCACCACCACCACCAGCGGCAGCGGCAGCACCACCGGCAGAGGCAGCAGCAGCAGCAAGTGCAGCAGCTAACTCCCTCCGCTCCTCCTCTTCCACCTCCAGGTCTTCAATTGGGTACTGCCGCTTGCGCTGCTGCTGCTCCTTCTCCCTCTCCCTCTCCCGCTGCTTCTGCAACTTGCGCTCCTGCATTGCATACGTACGCCAAGGCGCATTAAGAAGATTTCTGGCTAACTTCCAGCTCTTCATAAAAAAGCATGACAGCAGCTAAGACCATGGGATAAGGACACGAGCACAGCACAGTGTGCTGCTAATCTCGCCCTTTGAATCTGGCCCAAACCAGGGTTTAGGGTTTTTGAGGCGCCTTTTTTGAGGCGCCTCAAAAATCGTTTCGCCCTTTGAATCTGGCCCAAACCAAACCCTGGCCTTACCTCGTCAGCCTTCCTCTGCTCCTCCTTCTGCTGTTGCTTCGCTTGGCTGCGTTTCAAGTTTGGACGCAGGAACATGGGAAAGTAGGAAGCGGTTAGTTTTATCAATCAAAGGTTTGAAAAATGTGAGCAAATGAACCATGCAGGCGCCTGGTATTTCACGATCTACAGTCTGCGACCTGAAGAAAAGAACCTCTCCTGAACTGTCAAGCTGTACACTACAAAGGGAAGGGAAGACGTTCTTTCATGACACCCACCTATTGAGCCGACTCCAAAGACAAAATTCTAGGCAAGGTGAGGCGTTCTTTCAATCCACACACCTTCGCCAGCAGACGGGACATAGCAGAGCCTGCCCTCCGCCTTCCTTCCCTCCTGCTCCCTCCTCTCCTTCTTTCCCCCCTCCTTCCTTCTCTCTGCATCCTGGGGTTGCTACAGGACGCGGCTCACTCGTTTCTGCTCCAACCTGCGATCCTGGGGCTTGCGACTCTTGAGTTTTCTCTGTGCTGGGTTGTGACTCTGTCGGTTGTGACACTGATGCTCCCTCATTGCCCGGCAGCATGGCAGCAGGCAGGCACGGCAGGTGGAAGGCCCGGGGACAGGTGGAGCACGAGAGCAGCAGGGAGACGTTGTCTTTGCTGACCTTGCGCTTGCACACACTGATAGGGGATTGGGGGGGGAGGACGGGGAGGGAACGTGGATGAGCGAGGGCAGGAGGAGCACGAGAGCAGCAGGGAGACGAGCCATTGATGACCTTGCGCTTGCACACACTGAGGAGGAGAGGGGGAGAGGTGGGGGGGGGGGCGAATGAAACATAGGTAGAGCAGGGGAAGAAGGAGGAGCACATGAGCAGGGGGTATTTGTTCTTGTGTGCCTTGCTTGCGCCTGCACACATATCGAGCGGAAAAACTCAAACGCGTGGCATAGCACTTACTGGCATTTCTCTGTGCGAGCTGCTCCTTCGCCCTCCACTCCTTCGCCAACCACAAAGCCCATTCCCTCCTCGCCTCCTATCTACTCCACACGCACGCTTGTGGCTCGACTTAATCGCGGACACACGGAACTCAAACGGGTGAGCGCGGCACTTACTGGCATCTCCCTATTGGAGCAGCTCCCTCGCCCTCCGCGCCCTCGCCAACCACCAAGCCCACTCCCCCTTCGCCTCCAACCGCCACCGCTCCACCTCCTCCACCCTCTCCTCCCTTTCCACCCCCCTCCTTCCCCCGCTTCTGCTGCTTCTGCACCCCTGAACCACCCTTTTCCACACCATTCCCCACCGAGGCCTTCCGTTTTTTTGACTCTCCTGCTCCATCTGCCCCTAACCCTTCTCCCCGCCCCTCTCCACCACCATTACCATCCTCACCCCCCCCTTCTCCATCCTTGCCCCGTCCCTTCCCCTTGCCCTTCCCAGGACTTTTCCTGCTGGGACCGAATCCATACTTGGACCGCAGGTCACTAGCAACGGTCCACTCGTTGTCCTGCAGCAGGCTGCGAGAGGCGAACCGGGTGAGCCATGCGCTTATCGGCTTCTTGCCTATGTGGTCGCTGCGAGCAGGGAGAGGGAGGGAATGAGAGAGAGAGGATGAGGAAACACCAGAAGTGGTGAGAGAGAGAGGTGAGGAGCTGAATCCATACGTAGAGCACAGGTCAGTAGCGACAGTCCACTCGTTGTCTTGGAGCAGGCGGCGAGAGGCGAATCGAGTGAGCCATGCGTTTATGGGCTTCTTGGCAATGCGGTTGCTGTGAGCGAAGAGAGGGGCGAGGGTGGCAGAGGGTGAGGGAAGCCCGGAGAGGGTGGGAGAGTGTGAGGTGAGGTGAGGAGCTGAATCCGTGCTTGGTTGGAGCGCAGGTCACTGGCAACGGTCCACTTGTTGTCCTGCAGCAGGCTGGGAAGGGCGAAGCGAGTGAGCCACGCGTTTATGGGCTTCTTGCATATGCGGTTGCTGCGAGCAAGGTTGAGGAGGAGGGTTGAGCACGGTAACACAGGGCGAGAAGTGAGAGGTGAGGTGGCAAATTGGGTGAGCCACGCACTGATGGGTTTCTTGCAAAAGCGGTTGCTGCGGGTAGGGCGAGGCGAGATTAGAGGGACTAGCAGTTGCGAAGTGTGAGCTGATAAATTGAAAACAGTGGGGTTGGGAATGCCTTAAGTTAATCAAATGGTAGAAGTTTGATTCAACACACAAACAAGCCTAACTTCAATCACATGCCTCCATTATCCTGCAAGACTTGCACGATTCCCCTTTTGCTCACCTGCCTCTTTTTAAGACGACTCAAAAACATGCCTCCATTATCTTGCACGATTCCCCTTTTGCTCACCTGCCTCTCTCGACTTGTGCGTCCTGAATCGCCGTTACAAGTGCACCCTTGCTCAGCTTGCCTGAAACATCAAGTCTCCAAATTATGTCGGATTAGATCAACACAGAGTTCATGCGGCGACTTAGAGACGTTAAGGGAGCATACATGTTCTGTCTGCCTAAATCATGAATTCCCAGATCAAATGGAAGTTTTTTTAGTCGATTCAGAAACGTAGCTAGTGCAACCTTACTCCATGTGCCTGAGACGTGTAAGCAACAAACCAGCACAAACCAGAACCGACCAGATCTCATCACATCAGATCGTATCAGATCTTATCGATCTCTAATCAAGTCTATACAAAGCTCAACGAATCAGGCAAAGCAGGCAATAGACAGGCAAAAAGAATCAGCCTTGAGACAGGATGGCAAACTGGACCGCTTTCATGAGCCTCGTGTTACACCAGCAACCGCAGTAGATAAACGTATCCTGAGACTCTCAAAAACATGGCATGATCCGCAATCTATAAGCGTGTCCTAAGAAATCTCAGAATATGCCACCAACCAAAGCTGGTCAAGGAGATTTCACAATTGAGACACCAGCCGCAGCGAAAACGAAATGCCTTACTTTTGTGAACGATAGGGATGGCAAACTTGTGGAACCAATCCGGCAGATCCCTGTAACCAGACTGCTTCAGCCGCCTCTTCCCCTCAACCGCCTCTGTCTCGCTATTGAGTGCCTCTTCATAAGTCAACCCGCCCTGGCCCGTCTCGGTACACGTCCATATACGCTGCTTATAGCGTCGAATGGCGGAAAGATAGTCCCTGATCAGCAGGTTGCGGGAAGCACGAAAGTGGGGAGGACGGGAATGTTGATTTGTGGAAAAATGTTTGGAAGGTCAAGCGCTGGAAGTAAGTCAGCTTCTACCATAATCTAGAACGGAAGGTATGAAAGATCACAGTGTAAACTATGAAAGTGGAACCAGTTTCGATTTGGTTACGGTATCAAGGCACCCAGGAGCCGATCTCTCTCTCATATTCTTGCCACTGCGATTCTACTAAACAGAGGGCCGCAGGACGAACGGGACGCGGTGCTACGCAGGTTTCGGCCGAAAACAACGAATTCGGGTGGTCGAACTAAAATTAGGGTTTGCTCTGACATGTTGGGGCCAGAATCAGAGAAAAGCGGCGCAATGCTCACTCGTAATTGCGAAATGCTTCTCTCGTGAACCTGACGATATACAGCTGCTCGTTATCCTCCAAGTCCGCAGGTGGCTGGGCTAAGGGATGTAATTTTCCGCCTAGTAACGGCATTGCGGGCAGACTAAAACCCGAACATAGAAAACCACTACAAGAAGCGACGGAAGTGGGAAAAGAGAGAGAGATCAGGATGGAAAACGAGAAAGAACGAAAGATGGAAGGATGGGAGCAATATCAAGGCTGGGCCAGCGAGGTGTTTTCAAATTCGAACAAACACCAATGTTCGCGATTCGCGAAAGCAATCTCAAGTAGTGTTCATGGATTGCATTGCACACCGAGCCTGCATTGTCGCACAGGGGTTACTCCTTCGCGAATGAATTTACAACAACCAATTTTAGTGACCACAAGGGAAATTTCTAGGTCAAAACAGGCTGTAATGCTGTGAAGGATAGTTTTGTCCACCTGTCGCCCTTCGATTAGCCGCGCTTATTGTGGAGGTTTGTGGCTGTGAGGCATGAGTTCCGTCCTGGTCTCCGGGTGTACCCGTTTGAGAAACAACCCATATTTCTTACAAGCCACTGAAGCTCATCGTGAAAGTACCATGCCAGCGTCACTGGCTTCTCTCCAAGCAGCTTGAATTCGATCATCCCAAGGCTTAGCCACTGGTCAACTGATCGACTAGTGCGGCTCAGAAGGGTTACGCATGGTATAGCGAGGTTATAGTCTCTTACCGTTTTTCACCGCAACAAACCGAACAGAGTTTTGGTGGATCCTAAAAGCTAGTCAAAGCATTTCTTTGATATGGTTCATAACGACACTTCCCTGATCATCCCAAGGCTTCTCCCACTCCCGCTTTCAGCTTCCCCGTCGCATGTCGAATCAGATGAACGAGCGGAGTAGATGACTCCATATAATTCCAGCATCCCCACGAAAATTACGAGTTCCTGTTGATATCTTTACCAGGGAATGAAGGCGTGGTAACACTTTATACTCGCACTGACACCGCTCGCATGATCGGATGATTCGAAATTCATCCCGAGGTCAGTTCTTAGTCTCCTCTTCTCGGTTCCCCATAGTCTCCTCCTCAGTTTCGCCGTGCCTCTTGTCCATATTTGTTCGCATTACAACGCGATTAGCAGCCACCAAGAAGTAATCGCCGTATCGCCGCTTCTCTCCCTGCTGCCGCTTCTCTCGCCTCAATTCCTCCAGGCTCCAGCCTCCACCTGGCTGTACCCCTCAACCCGACCGAACGACCTTCGCCACGCGACAGCTCAATGTCGCAGCTGCTGTCGCAATCCTCGCCGCAGAGCCCATGGTCGTCGCAGCACCATCATGCGCGAGGATTGTGGCGAGCAATCGTCGCAAGCAAATCGGATTGGTTGCTGTTCCTCGGCTTGCTCCCAGTCAACGTCGTTCTCTCGCTCTACTTGCCTCCCTATCAGCGCTTCATCCCGCCTGAAACCCTTCACTCTCCGCGGTATCCCGTGGTTGACAATGCAGGGGCAACCTTTTTTACAGTAAGTCCCACCACCATCGCCTCTCCCCCTCTACTTACCTCCTTATATCCGCTTTATCCCCCCTAAAAGCCTTCATTTGTCGCTGACAACTCGTCAAGCCATCATATCACCATTGCTCTCTCGCTATACTACCTTATAGGCTCTTCATTTGTTAATAGCCTCCACTCTCCACTCTTTACGCTGCCCCGGACGCTGATTGCTGCAGGCTGTTTGGGTGCTATCTTGTGAGTCGACTCACACAAGCCACTTCACCCTCCCCCATTCCTCCTCATCCCACCCGAGCCTGATTGCTGCAGATTGTTTCAGTGCTGGCTCCCGTGCTTGCATTCCTGCTGGTGCTGCTCTTTGAAAGCCTTCATCCTCCTCTGTTCGCGCTTCCCCTCCCCACGGGCCTGATTGCTGCAGACTGCTTCAGTGTTGGCTCCCCTCCTTGCTTTCCTACTGGTGCTGCTCCCTCAAAGGAACCTGCTCGAGCTGCACAAGTCCATACTCGGTACAAGCTAGACCACTAAACGCACAGGTCCATACTCGTTACAAGCTAGACCACTAAACGCACAGGTCCATACTCGTTACAAGCTAGACCACTAAACGCACAAATCCATACTCGTTACAAGCAGCACCAATACTGGTTCCGCCGTTGCATTCCCCTTCCCGCACTGACTTCCCTTCTCTTTCTTTCTCCCGCATCCCTTGCCTTCCCCCCTCCCCTCCCCTCACCATCCGTTACCGTCCCTCACCATCTCCCACATCACATCATGCCCCGTATTGCACCACAGGGCTGCTCTCAGCCGTGCAGACCACCTGGCTAACTGCTACTCTCCTCCAGTGTGTCATCGGCCGGGCCCCCCTTGACACCTCCGCCCTTTCCCTCAACCCCCCCCCATCTTCCCCCTGTCATCTCCCCCCTTTCCCACACTGTCCCACATCATGCCCCGTACTGCATCACAGGGCTGTTCTCAGCCATGCAGACCACCTGGCTGGCTTGCTGTTACTCTCCTCCAGTGCGCCATCGGCCAGCCCCCCTTGACACCTCCGCCCTTTCCCTCACTCCCCTTTCCGCCCATTTTCCCCCTATCATCCCCCTATCATCCCACATACTGCACCACAGGGCTGCTCTCAGCCGTGCAAACCACCTGGCTGGCCGCTACTCTCCTCCAGTGCGCCATCGGCCGGCCTCGCCCCAGCTTCCTCACAGCCTGCTTGCAAGGCACCCAACCAGTGTGGTTTCAATTCCTTTGTAGTGCCATGTTCATGTCCTGATGTCATCTCCTGCTGTGAATTGTATTCTTGAGCTTCCTATTATACCCCTGAACTTCCAGCATCACTCCCTGCAGGAGTCCCATCATTGCCTCCTCTCCTTTCCTCCCCATCGATCCCTTTCATCTGCGCGTTCTTTCCAGGTGGTCTCCCCGTCAGCGAGTATCACCTGTGTGCCACCGCCCACCGACCTTTACTATTTCCGCAAGAGCTTCCCCTCCGCCCATGCAGCAGGTGACCATTTCGACCGGGAGCGATTCTAGAACGCACTTCAACGAGCATTTTTCCCATTCTGTGTTTCAAAGCGGGCGTCCCACTTCGCGCCTGTGCTGGGACACCATCACACTGTCTTCGTTGCATTATTATGCCAACCTCATTCCTCTGTCCTCACCCCACTCTGTCCTCTCCCCAATGCTGAAACCCCGTTCCCCATTTTTTCCTATCCCCACCCTCCCTTCCCTTTTTACCTGTGTGGCAGTCAGCTTTTCAGCAGCAGTCTTCCTCCTCCTCTTCCTCTCCCGAACCATCCAGAGATCATTTCCCCAGCGGCCCTCTCCCCTTGATTCACCCAGCCACCGCCCCTCCCATCGTCACAATCACTCACCCCAGCACCGCACTCAATCACACCAGGAATGCAATCAACCCCTCCAGCATCCCCATCAATCACAC